GTGTATGGTGACTCCAGTTGAACCAAAATCTTATAAATTGTTCATGAGTGTTTTAAGCAGTTCAAAAAACTCGTAGATCGTGTTTTATCAGGTATAAAAGCACTCGGCTACGCCCTGTGCTTTTATACCTGATAAAACACTCCTCGTTTTTTAAACACTACAAAAAATTACCCCGTTTCTGATTGGTTGGCTATATACATCGTCAACCATACACCGAATCAATCGTCAAACATACACCGAAAGATTATAATTTACCAAACAATCGCCCCGTTTCTGATTGGTTGGCTAAATACATGGTCAACCAATCAGAAACAAGCATGCATCCTTGGTTAGTCTGACTGCCTGGTAGTTTTGAGGCAAAAAAAAGAAGAAAAAATCAAAAACCTAAGATCATTATRGTCATTTCCTGGAATGCTAGATCTATAGATATGTTGTACACAGTTGTCTTGAAGTTACTCAAAGAATTAAAAATCAAATGTTATTCGGTATTCCAAAGCTAAGGAAAAAACTGTGTCAAGTAGTGTAGTGTATTGTGGGACTGCGACGAAACAGACGCCATCTTGGAAAGAACCCCAAATTGCACTGCAATGCCATTTCAACCCAGTTTTTTCCTCAGCCTTAGAATGACTAAGTCTTTAAATAGACGTTTCCCAAGATACAGCCAGATGCACATGTACTTTCCAATCATTAGAGGTTATCAGTCGACTAAGCGTCTGATACGGCTGTGAATTTTTACAAGTCACGGAGTATTTTGGCAAACCTTTAGGCGAGCCAAAATACAAGCGATGAGCAAAGCCGTACCAGATGCTTAAGCCTACTGATGAGTTGTTTATCATTTAATTCTGCAAAGAAATGCTCAAACTCTCTCTATAGCAATACTATACTCTATCRTACCCAGCGCGAGCAGATGAGAAGTGCTGATGCGGTCTCATATCAGGCATGGTCTTTTGCCATATCGCACACGTTCTTTGCAGAATTAAATGACAACTTGATTTATTAGCACCTTGGAGTCTTTGATTGTTCTCTCTTCCAATAAGGAAGAAAGCTGGCAAGTAAAATCAGTTTACTGTATCTTGGCATGACCACAGGAATCCCATACTGCACTAAGTTACGACTTGTGCCGTGGAACGAGGGTGCAAATGACTCCATCACGTGGTCTAATCGTCATCTTCTCAGTGATCTGCTTGGTTTGTCCTGGGACGAGCCTGAACTTGAAGGTCTGGATGAAGCGTGACAAGATCACTTTGGCTTCGATCTGCAAAAGAATTTTTTAAATAGTTTATACTGAGTAAAATGAAGTACTAGATAGATGAGGCAGTAATCCGTGTGGGATGAGTAAAATGAATGGAAGAATTGATAGGAGCCTGATCGTTTCAGGACAAAGACAAGGGACCGTTCATTATTTAACTGGGGGAGGGGGCTGGGTGAGAAAAGGAGGGGCCTCGAAACTTTTTCACGTACAAAAGGATTGGCCCTGTAATTTTTTCATGGATTTAAGGGAGGGGACTTGAAATTTCAGATGAAGGTCCAAAGATAGTGAAGGGGGGTCTTGAAAAAGATCACTTTCTTTGTTGGGGGGCCTAAAAAAATGGGCGCCTTTTCCAATTTCTCACCCAGCCCCCTCCCCCAGTTAAATAATGAATGGTCCCTAAGGATTGAAGGTTTTTCTTAGATGCATTTTTTGTTGACATGCAAAAGAAACAAAGACCAAATATTTTGTTACAGCCAAAAAAATAAGGTTGCCATGACGACTGTGATGACGACCTTCGTCTGCAAAACCCAACACACTAAAGTGAACTTAGACCAGTCAGTTTAGCATGCCCTGACTTACACCCCGACACCCTGTCCATAGGTATCCGGATATTTTTGAATAAAAAATTATAACATCAAAAATAATTTTCGTCCACGTAGATTTTTCGAATTTTTCGCCCGTCCACACGTATCTGTTTCCGAGAAATTGCGCTTTTAAGGCCATACCGCAAAGAAAAACATCCCATTCCGTTTTCATAAATAACAGAATACGTGTGGAAGGGGCCTTATGTCAACTCATAGGTTGTTTAAGGGTTTAGCAAAATTGGTCTTAGTCTTTTACTTGTGCCAATGGCCATTTCCTTGTGCCATTGTATTCTCTACTTTCACATCCCCATAATACTTTGCGTCTTTGGGGGGTAACCAGAGGGTAAAAACCCACTTATTTTGCTGAAGGCTGATCAGACAATGTTGACAATACCGTGTTTGGTATCCAAAAATATAATGAAGAAGTGAAAAACAGAAAAAGATAGAAGCTTGAAGACGTTTAAGGTAAATTTTAAACATTTTTTGTAAGTCAATACATTTTCTGTAAGACCAAAACTCTTGATGATCTGTACACGCAAAAATAACTTGGAATAAACTGATAATCAGTATTGTACAAATAAAAGCAGTTATAGTATAAATTCAATTAAGAAACCTTTCAATTTGGGACAGTTTTTTGATTGGTTACCTCCCAAAGACGCAAGGCATTATGGGGGTGTGAAAGTAGAGAATGCAGCGTTCTATAAAGCAACCTTGGGCGCACGYATGTAACCTGTCCACCACGTGCTAAGTCTGCTAAGGGGACTTACCTGGGCAAAATGTTGGCCAATGCAGTTACGAGGGCCAACGGAGAATGGAAAATAGGTAAAGTGTGACCTGCGGAAACAATACAGATTATTGTAAAATTTATTTTTATAAAAATTGGGAACTTGGCAACGTTCGAAATGATTTTAAAATTCAAGGCCCTCCAGAATAAGATGTTCAAAATTGCAAGATCAAAGAATTGCGCCTTATTTACCTATTGCGCACTCTTAGTCCCAACGGGATTAATGAACGCTTTGCTTTTAACTAACCCACTCTTTTGTCTTTTGATTGTTTCTTTCGTTTCCTTGCCTACCTTGCTCTCATTGGTTTCTTTTGTCTTATTCTATCATATAAACACTCCTTTCTACCACCTCTTTCTCTCTTACTCCGACGAAGCACTGGCGTCCGAAACGTCATTAAGTTTTTTCATCCTTTCACGGTGTAAAATTTACCCTTTTATCATTACTTAAGGTGGCTGGACCCCCTCACGCTTGACTGCTACCTTCCACGTTTGGAACGCTGGTGCATAAACGTGTTTTATGCGATTGCAAATCTTTTTCGCACATAAGTCACATAAAGATTGAATTAATGTTTGATGCAGTTTTTAATGAGATCGGACGTCATAACACGTGATGAAATATTTGTTTTCGTTTAGAAAATAATTTTAGCCTTGCAGAGCGTTCAACACTAAAATGCTTCGTACCACATAATTATATACTAGATGCCTCCATTTGTAGGGATTTTTGAAAAAATCTATCAAGCTAATTATGAGATATTTGAGATTCTTTAAACATAGTGCATAATCTACTTCAAAACTAAACAATGGATTTCATACGGCCGAAATTAATATTTCTATATAATCTCATTAAAAACTGCATCAAACATTAATTCAATCTTTATGYGACTTATGTGCGAAAAAGATTTGCAATCGGATAAAACACGTTTATGCACCAGCGTTCCAAACGTGGAAGGTAGCGGTCAACCGTGAGGGGGTCCAGCCACCTTAAAAGGATCAGTCATGATGTACAATGCTGCAGATTCGATTTACAACGTTGAGTAGTAAATTCACTTTCTGAATTTCTACTAAGATTTTCCCTCATTATTGCCTAAAGGTAGGAACGAACGCCCAAAGCTCACTGACCTTTTATCTCCATCCATATCTTCAAAGCGCAGTGGATTAAAGTCTTCCGCATTAGGCCAGTATTCAGGATATCTGCCAGTTATGTATGAACTGAACTATAAAACAGATTATAGGAATGAAGTAATCAAAAAGAAGTAAGACCACCTAATATTGAATACTCCAGTTTTGAGTTTTCTGTTGCTCAGAGTTAGCCTCCATTTTGTGTAGAATATTCATGTGTTTCACTTAAGGTCCGTGGAATTTCAGAGTGTTTGTATTGTTGAAGTTGCAGGGGCGGTGGAACGAGGGATGATTCCCCCCCCCACAAAGTATTGGTTCATATGAAATATAAATGCATAGATTCGATAGYTTTACGGCGCATTCGTCTGCAATCAAACAAAACAGCGGTTATTATCACAGCGTTAAATATAATATTTCAGTGCCCCCCCCCCCCCCAAAAAGAATTTCAGCTTCCGCCAGCCCTGAGTTGTACACGTCTTTACTTTACATTTGGTATTTGTGAATATTGAGACACTGATTCGAGGCCAACCCTGAGTGAATGAGTCTGTATTCAAGGAACACRGCAGTAATTTGGGAGCATCTTTAGAATACGCCGTCACCTTTAGAAGCGAATTACAAGTGTACCCACGGTCCGAGGTCCCGAAGTGATTTGAAAACGAAGCAGTTACTAAAGCGCATTACAATTGGGCTTCCTGTGGCCAAGGACCGGGGACCGCGGTGACAGTACCTGAGGTGATATTAATTAGTGACGGGGTATTCTACAGTTTATCCGTAATAATTTGAAACTCAAAAATGGTCTAAACCGGAGAACCTGAAGAAAAGCTCTTACCATCAACGTAGTTCCTGCTGGAACAAGTTTACCACCTATCATCTCGTCTTTCTCTGTAACACGAACTGTTCCTGTTGCAGATGGATACAGACGGAGCGTTTCCTTGAGAACCTATTATTAATGACAAGTGAAATTAAAGAAAATTATATAAGCTAGGATTCGTAGGCTTTGGAGAGAGGAAAGGAGACGAACGAGAGCAGACATGGGCAGAGCAGAGCAGGAAATGGCAGGACAGGGCAGGTCAAGGCAGGGCAGGGCAGAGCAGGGCAGGTCAAGGCAGGGCAGGGCAGAGCAGAGCAGGGCAGGGGAGGGCAGGGCAAGGCAGGGCTAAGCAGGGCAGGGCAGGGCAACGAGAGGAAGTACCTCTCCCATGTGGTGCATTTTAGCCAAGTCATCAAAATGCACTGTAGTCCTGTCGCCAAGAACTTCAAAGACTTCTTGGACCAGCCTGCAACACAAACAAAATACTAAATCAAAACAAACGAATCGTTTGGATTGTGGGATAGCTACAATCTCATTAAATTTTCTAAACGTCGCTCTTCTTGTTTAAGCCATCACCAATGAATTAGTCAACGCCCCTCTGTTAGTTAGCGCATGCGCTTTGACGCATTTTTTTGGCCTTTCTGAGGTTGCACGTAAAACTTAAAGACGCGCGCTGAATCGTGTCGAGGTTTGAGGGACACCATTTGCATTTTTCATTTCAAAGGTTTTTGTTTCGAAATTCAGTAACACTTTAACTTTATTTTCGGTCTGTTTTTTTTTTGTTCAAGATAGTTTGCTAAGCTTTTCGCCATATCGAAAGCCCAATGATTCTGAGTCCATATTGTTTTATGAATCGGTGGATGTTTATACACATGCTCGTCCCATTGAAACCACTGACTTACTCTTCTAGTATTTCACTGTGGTCAGCAAGCTCCATGACGCAGAAGCTCAACTTGTTAGCAGTTGTCTCGTGACCTAGACGAGATAACCAAGAAAGATATGGAACATCTTCTTTAACTATTGTATACTACAGTAGGACCTCCATTGATGGTTTTCACGGCGGCCATGTTGGAGGAACTTAACAAAAGAATTGTCAATGAATTCTTTTGTTATATCCTCCAACATGGCCGCCGTGTCTTTTTATATTTAATTCTCTTGGGAATGGTTGAAAACCATCAATAAGGGACCAACCTCTATTTATATTAGCGACCAGGTGAATATTTGAAGGAATACATTTTGTCAGAGATCGCCAATGTTTTCCCATTTTAGACAGCATGCATTCTCTTGAGAAAAAGATTCTTTGTTCCATATTTGTGTGTCTTCTCATGCGCAACCGTTAAAGGAAGAATTACATGTAATGCTCTAGGGAGTGAAACGTGGTCTGAAATGGGAAAGCACTACGCCCAATGTAAAGAGTTCYTTTAGCGTAAGTAGCGTCTCTTTGAGGCGGAATGGTTGCATGCTTCAATACAATCTCAGAAGCTTTTTCAATGCCATAGAATGCTGCAAACGTTTGCCGATTGTTATGATAGCATTTAGATAAAAGTGGAAGGTACTGACACACGGTGCAACATTGCAAGCAACAATTTTGAATCGGGGTGACACACCTTGCAACAAAATCACGCAACATCGCTTGTGTCAGCCTGCTATGCCAAGATATTTCGTCAGCAGTTACAAATTTGGTGCAAGCTGATTGGCTGGAAATTTCAAAATGTTGCAGGTAATGTTGCAGCCATGTTCACACGATGAAATTTGTTGCGCGCAATGTTGCAAGAGTAGAGCGCGATTCAACTTCAGATTTGTTGCATGCAACTTTGCATGCCAGAAGTTTCAGGGGTACACACGCTGCAACATTCCTGTTGCATGCAATGTTGCACCGCGTGTCAGACATGTGTGTATATTTCCATTGGGAAGCCATTTCAGTGTCAATATGGTACCGTTAATTTTTTACGGGCATGGGGGAACCGGTAAAAAAACTTTCCATTGGGAAGCCATTTCAGTGTCAATATGGGACCGTTAATTTTTTACGCGCATGGGGAGGGGGGGGGGGGGACTGGTAAAAAAATTTATAAACCCTTCCTAACATGAATTTTTTTTATTGCATGCCACTTAATAAAACAGGATAATTTTAAAAATAATTTTCTATTTAGCTAATCATTTTTAGGGTGGCCCACCCTTAAATGCCATACTTTTTACTTTTTCCTAAATACACCAGCCCCCGGTTCCCAAATGCTGATCAGTAACAATCTTACCAGCAACAAAAAAGGTGACAAATTCATCCAGCATATCCTCGATGTCTGCTGTTGGATCTTCCTCTAAAAGTCAAAGGAAATAACTTGCTTAACATGACATGTTTGAYTTGCAAACGGGTGAAAGTGCACAAGCATTAACGACATTAACAAATTGAATACAGTGCACTTCAATTAAGTAAAGTCCATTTTTGAAATAGAAGGAATTCTTTAAATAGGCACTTTTTCAGCTCGGGCAYATGATAATGTTTTCCCATTTCAGATGTGTCATTCCCTAGAGTATCATTTCTTTGTTTAACAGCTGCACATGAGAAGACACACATGAATACGGATACAACTCAAAAAAAGAATATATTATTCTCAAGGGAACGACACATGGTCTAAAATGGGAAAACATTAATTACGCCCAACAAAAAGAGAGGCACTCAAAAAGGATCCCAGTATAATAGTAGATAAAGGTATTAGTGTAATGAGTAAACAGAGAAATAGCTTTGTTTTATTATATAGATATCGATGAAATACCAGGTTTTCTCTAGTGTCGAAAACTTGATATCTTTCACCAGTGGAAGATACCATATCTTTCACATGTGAAGATATCGTTGTTGACATAGTAAAGTATTTTAATAAAGAATTTTTGAGCTTTTGTTTTATTTAAGTTTCATCGATATCTATATAATAAACAGAACATTGCATGGCCCCTTGGAGATACGAATTTTATCTTCGAGTGTTCAATTTAGATTTCTCACGAGTGAGCGCAGCGAACGAGTGAGAAATCTAAATTGAACACTCGAAGATAAAATTCGTATCTCCAAGGGGCCATGCAATATCCTCTATATATTCCTTGCCTGCGATAGCCAAGATATGCTGTAGAATATCATTAGGCACTTGTTCTCCATGGTTGATCGCCAGCTGACGGACTTCAATGATCTTTTTACCAGTTTCACGGATGAAATCTATAGCAGACCTCACTTTGCTTTGGTAGGGCCAGTTAAGGGGATTCATCTAAAGAAACAGGTGTTAGGAAAATGATTGTAAAAGGGTGAGGAAAGGGGTGGAGTGGATTAATATTTTAAGAATCTCTGAAGAGTATGCACAAATCCCTCCTTAATAACAAAAATAATGTCAGTCACTACAGCAAGCACAGAAGGGATTCAGCTCAATGTGGTCAATTCTATGTATGACCCCAAAGCTACAGTGTAGTTAGCTAGTTAGTTAGAATTGGTTTGAAAAGAGTTGGTTTGAACCTAAAAGATGAGAAAGCCTTGGAGTAAAAGAGAGAACCAAAACTAACTCAACTCACAGGGGGCAACTGGGATTTGAGCTGAGGATTGCAGAGGTTAAAGACAAGCATTTTAACACCACACCATCCTACTTTATTTATTTGAGGTTTTGCCCACAGGCTGGTGCTGCACAATAGGACTCAGGGTCCCCTTTGAGGTACATTGCAACAATTTTCAACCCCGTAAAATCCCCATATCCATCCTACGATAAACCCATTAAGTAATTATTAGTAAAGGCCAGACACCGAGCTAGTGGTCACTGCCAGGGTTAGATTTTAAGGTGTGAATACTGGAGCCTGTATATTTCACTCCAAAAGGCCATTAGAAACCTTGGAAAGTTGAAGTGTAACTGTTTGGGTACCTACCCATCCAAATGGGTGGAATGAAGCCGTTTCCATTCCATCTAACATAGTAGTGACATTCTTGGTGAACTTGCAGTTTGGGTCATTGATGATGTTCAGGTCAGTGCCAAATGCAACCTAGAATACAAAAAATGACATTGAAAAAATAATAAATGACCATCATATGAAGGAATGTTTTAGAACTCATGGACCTCTGGTCCTCTGTGTTTAACATCTGAATGTTGAGCTATGACAAAACAGAGTGTAATGGTCAAGCCGAGGGACAAACCCTTGACCTCCCAAACAAGTACTGCACTCATCTTATGATCAGAAGTCATCAGCTTCATCGAGACAAAATGAACTAAAAGAAGGAATCCCAATGCCACATCATGAACAGTCTTTGATGCTATTTTTTAGAATTATTCATTCTTGAAATTGTTTGTTTTTCTACTTGCACACACTGTGTGTGCTCTGCACTGTTTGCTCATGCCTTTTTGTGTTTTTTTTTCAAAACATGAACAAACGATGAGGAGTTTGAGCAGTATGCAGGTGTAGAAAAACAAAAGATTGCAAATGTGATTCTAAAAATATCATCAAACGGTGCCTATGATGGTTAGAAGCATGAATACCAGAGATTACTTCAGAATCTCTTAATTCATTTTTTCTTCTTTTTTTGCCCGGGGTGTTGGGAGGGGCTCCTGGAAAAAAGTACCGGGGATGCTTGTCGGAAATTTTCAAAAAGACCCCTAAAAGATACCGGAAGTCTTTTAAAAAGGCCGTGGCTGAATGATTTTTAACCCTGTTAAGAGATACCACAACAAATTACACTAGGCATCTGACCTATAAAAAGCGCCTAGGATAAGCCATATCGATGTGCGCTTCTCTTAGCGATACAAGAAAATGCTGATTTTCAAAAAYTCGCATTCAACACACTAAAAGATACCCAAAATAGTGAATTTTTACATCTAAGAGATACGACAAGCATTCCCGGTACTTTTTTCCTGGAGTCCCCCCTGGGCTTTATTGCCATGACAATGGCGATACCATAAGCTTTAGTGTACTTATACCTTACAAAGGACATCTAAGGTTGCTCTAGCAAACTCATCAGTCATCACAACCTCTGTCTTCCCATCAGCTTTTTCAAGCAGTTTCTTGATGAACAGGTCTGCACTTGAATTGAAAGCCTTCATCATATCCTTCAGGCACCTGAATGAACACTAATACATTAGTCATATCATCATACCATCGCAAGTACAGCAGTGGCACTGCTCAACGGGGTTGAACTCCCAGGGGGGGTACTCCCCTATATTCGCTATACGGGTATGTGCCGCCAAACAGGGTATGGTTTTCAGCGATTCTACTCTGGAACAGGGTATATAAAATCGTGCTCGCTCTGGAACAGGGTATATGGAATCACGCTCTCTTCTCTCTGGAACAGGGTTTTCAGTGATCTTGCTCTGGAACAGGGTATGAATTTCAGCGATTTTTACTCTGGAACAGGGTCAGGGTTCAGAGGGCTCAGCAACACATCCCTACCCTAAATGGGCAAGAGTACCCCCTGGGTTAAACTGAAAGTGTGTGAAGGAGTCTGTAGCAACCACTATACAGTCCATGTATGAGCCCGAAGCACAGCTCTAACCAGTTTGAATTAGCTGCCCTGAATCAGATTATACATTAGATAGTGTTTTAAATAATGAATAGATAATGTTCATTCATATACTTACACACGATGAAAGGCAGGATTAAAGATCTTTCTTCGTTTGCTCCATTTTTGGTGATCTGACTCTGTAGCAAGGCCATGTCCTAAACACCTGTGTTAGTATAGGAAATAAAGGCGAGTGCAATTAAAGAACTTTCAAAACATTACGAGTGTCTATTAATTCCAAATTGTACGAGAAGATCGTGCGATTTTTTGTTTATAGTTCACTCAACAAAATTTCAGTAAAAAATGTGAAATGACGCCGTTCATCTTTGTCTATTTGGCGGCCGATTTTCAGTCCATCACGCAACTGAAATACATAAAAAAGATTAGTTCTTATGGCTTTGAAATTTCATTTATATGTTTTTTAAGTACAAAACAATAGAAAATGATTGTCTTGACATTGTTTTGGCCGTGTTGTTGTTTTGGCCGTGTTGTTGTTTTGGCCGACTTAATTCGGTACTCCGTAACGCTACAATTGTACTCCTCTCAACCAATCAGAGTCGAGTAATTTTGTTGAGTGTACTATAAGTAACAAAATAGCAAAATAATTATTTACTATTTACTATACTGTACTAACTATGTTCAACCTTGATTCCCAAAAACAGACCAAGGGAGCTAGGACAGACGGATTGGGTTTTAAATGTGTGTGATTGTTTCAGTTATTTGTAGATTTCTAATTGAATTGATATATATGTTTGTTTCTAAATGGATACTAAATAGTGTTCACGATCATATCATCTTTAAAAATAAACATCCTTTCCATCCAACTGTCTTTCTGGTTTGAATCAGCCGTACGATATGAATATATTTATCTCGTCCACCAATTCAATTCAATTAGAAATCTACGAATAACTGAAACAATCACACACATTTGAAACCCAATCCGTCTGTCCTGGCGCCCTTGTACAGACGCTTTGTTGCTAATATAATAATAATAATAATAATAATAATAATAATAACAATAATAATGGTTTAATCAATATAATCCACACGGTGGCTCTTCACCTATTGATAATATGTCTTTACCCTCCTTAAAATAACAGCTAGTTACCTTTTTCCGTAGACACTTGTCACTGGATCATAAGCAAACTTGCTTTTTGGTAAGTTTTTAGTAATGAGAAGTTCCTGTGGGATGCAAAAAGGTCATGGATTAATGTAAATTTGAATTTAATTTCACTTAAAGATAAACAGATTCCATCATACTGTATATGTGTATGTGTGTTGGTGTCATACCTTTATTATATCAGGGTCAGCAATGCTTAGAAATGGGGAGTGGTAGAACCAGGTGCAGATCACTTTTCCATACATCTTGTGCCTTGAAAACAACAGCTCATCAATAATGGTGGGTGGGTGGG